CATAAAGTGGGAATTTTTATGTACTAACCGTATTCTCCAGACATTGTCCTAAAGGACTATTACTTATTTCGAGAGTTACAATAAATTCAATTAGGTAAACAATAAATTCTCAACGGACAAAAGCACGCATTTCGTATTTATATTTTTTGTCAGTTTGTGCGGTTATCAATGGACTGCAATAGATATCCATGAAAATTAAAGATCAATTAATTATTAAACACAAAATTCACGCTGTTAGCTATCGAGCATTTATCATCTATTATATAACGCTTTATTATGTTTATCTAGTTATTTAATAGATCATTTTACTGAGAATGAGCCACTGGATTTGAAAACGTGGGAAACAGTAAATTTTCATTTTGTATTTATCCTTCTTTTTAGTTTGTGCAGCGATGACTGGATTTCAATAGATATTCCCGAAGATTAAAGATCAATTAATCGCGCGTGATGAATGGCTTCGGTTACTCGCCAAGCATCAAAGGTCACTTGTACTAATCGAGTCAGCAATTAGTTACCGAGACACGTGTGCGTGTCAACTCTATTGGCGGCATAAAGTTCAGTTACCGAGAAATTGCGTACTGCGAATGGGGAATACTCGTGTTGCGAAGTTGTGCGATCTTCTTTGAAGCAATAGCTCCACGTTGCGGCTATATGTATATCATATATATGTATATCAAAAAGTGCATCAAACCTTTGATTTATTTGGTAGATTGGTTCTATAAGTGTACTTGCAAATCTTGAGCATCGAAAGTTCAATGTACATCTTTTTAATTTTAGTATATAAAGATATTATATATATACTAATATACAAGTAAATGAATAAGAAGATAAGTTCCTAGAGCTAATCGACCCTAATATCATTTTTAACCAGAAATTTTTTAATTATTTTTAGCTTATTCTACATTCTTCGATTGCAAATTTCTACTAAATTTAATTTTAACTATAAGCGATTGTTATTTTATATTAATAAATTATTTTCCGAAGGTTTTATAAGTAATCGCTAGAGATTCAGTGTGAAATAAACACAGTTCGTACAAAACAAGTATGAAAAGTACATATAAAGTAGACATAAAAACATTAAAGTCCTACAAAAATACAAATCCTAAAGATGTAAAGAAATCAAAGAAAACTTACACACCTGTTATCCTTTTTCTTCTGCGTGTTACCATAAAATTCGATCACTGTGCCAATAATTCTGCAACTCGTTCTGCAAGTGAACGAATAATTTCGACAAATATCGCGCGATAGATCAAGTAAACGATCCAGCATAGAAACGCATTTCTTCGTTCAGTGAAAAAAGAAGATGAAGCGCAGCAGCGCTATGACGTTTACGATGACAGCGGACGCAGCATGCTTTTGCATACAGTAACCAATAAGGAAGCTCGATCTTCCGCCTCCGTGCTTTGGCCGGCGTCGAGTGACAATAATTCAACTCGTGGCTCGTAGTGGGGCGATAAAGCTGATAATTACGAAATATTACGGTCTCTTAATGGCTCGGTATTTTACAATCTATGTCGACGGGGTTCGATGCCGGCTCGCAGCTATGGCGGTCGCCGCAGCAAACTTTGCCCGATAAAACGAACAGTAACCGCGAACGATAATGTCGCGGGATTTTCATTGAGAACGGCTTATCAGCCTGCCTACGGCATTATCGTATTAACTTGAGAAACGACGTTGTCTGGGATGCTAGTGCACGATTTCGATGAATCGTTACTACGAGCCCGATGAAAAAGCGATCAGCGTCATCGGTGGCGCAGCCCAAAATCTAACAAAGTGTATTTGACCAAAAATATGCAGACACAAATACGTTACACATTTGTACACTTTTTAGAACTTTATTGGGATTGATAGAGAAAGAGGTTAACTTTTGTTACGTATAATTAATATCTTTACGGTTTCTGTAACACTGGAACCACCGGGGTCAACGCATAACCATTACAGTAAAATTCCGAGAAAATCCGGTATTTTTGATAATCCAGCACGCATAACTCGTAGCGTTGCTCCCTGTATGGCAATGTGAGGCAAAATTTAATTCAATTGACAGTTGATTCTTACTTTTATGTGGCAATTGAATTTAATTCCAATTAAAATAATTTTAAATCGAAGTAAAGATTCGTTTCAGTTGAAATCTGTTTTAAACAATTAAAATTAATGTTAATTTCAAATAATGGTAATAGGACAATATTACTTCCAAATCCTATTACCTTTCCATTACCTCTTCGTCGAGGTATTGGTTTTTTTTTATATATACGAAAGTCTGAGTAATTAAAAAGATAGGTATTTGTAGGATGGAGGGGAGAGCAATTGCTTCATTGATTCCCTTCCTTCCTGAGCGCGCTATTGAACGTCATAGATCAATCGCGCGGAAGAGGTTACGATAACGAAAGCGCGGGAACGCGCGCGGAATGTTCGGTCGATGTTGCGTGTACTTTGGTATTAGGTTAATTGCCAGCTACGTGAAACCAATGACACAGAAATATTTCCTGCAATTATCGTTCCGTAGAAATCGACAGAGAGAGTGGTGGAATCTTAGATACACTCGAGAATTCTTGTTAATTCGAGATCTAACAGACCTACCGCAGGGAGGACTCGCGATGAGTTTGACTCTCGGGGTCATTTGTGATCTCTGAAAGCAGAGAGTTTGACAAGTTTAAATTAGCAATTTACATTCTAACCATTTCGATAATGTCACTAGACATTACTCATCCCACAGACACAGAAATCGCAATTTCTATGCAAGTAGCAAACAGCCACTCAAATGTTACGTCTTTGGTTTTTAATATTATCATTGGTTAGGGTCATTATGTCCTTAAAAGAAATTTATTTTCAATGTTCACCAATTGGATAAAATTGTAGGCATAGATTTGAATGAATGGAATCTATCTATTTTCATTGTATCACTTTGGTAACAAGTAACTAGACATTTTTTTCGAGGGATACCGCGGAAATCCTGATGGACTCTCTAAAGGGTCCGCACTCCACAGGTAGTAGAGGACTTTGATCCGTTCAAAGCACAAACCCTTTCTATAGACCACGCCCACTTCAAACTACGCTTTACTTCCTTTTTAGCTTCCAATTATTTGATAAAAATTGCTTACTTACGTCGATAAGAGGTCCGTCCCAGGAAGTTGTTCGTTTTACCAAATATCTGCTACACTTGAGGTATATAAAATGTTATATACTCTCCCCTCTGGCACTCCAGGACCACAATATTCTTTTCAAGAGTGTGTCGTATACTCGTTTCTCATGATCCGGGGGTAACCACTCGCCTACGGGCAACTCAATTGAAACTCCAAAGACCTCCTATGTCTCCCCTTCCTCCAAGCGTCGGAAAGCGGGATGACGTTCCCTGGAAGCCGATTGAATTATCAGCCATTGCGACGCGAATCGTCAAGCAGCATCGATGGACGTGCGACGGGGTACGTGGAGGCAAAATTTGGCTCGGTTCCCCGTACCGTTTTCTGGGAATACGGTCGATCGAGGCGGGTGAAAGCATAAGGTATCCACTACCAAGAGAAGAGTCGGGTGTTGCGTGTCTGTAATCGGAACCCGCGCATCATGGGATCGTAAGTGCCCCAGGCGCTTATTTGCGCATAACTTTGCGAAGTGCCTCTTCGAACAGCGTCACGTATCCATTTATACTGCAGTTAACGGATCGACCATCGATTTGGAATCGCAGCGTATAGCTCTGCGAGCTAGCGAAAACGATGAATGATCCGTTTACATCACTGCCTTTCAACGGTGGAGGCATTGACACCTTGAAGTGAGTGATAACTGATTATCTGTTTTTGGGGGCGATAGTCGCTTTACGTGGGTAAATCAAAAATATATTATTTTGCGTTTTTTTTTTAATAATAAGCTGACCAGTTTTTATAATAAATGAATGTGAATGCTACCAGAGTTATGGAAAAAGATAGAACACCAAAAGAAAGTATGTAATTAAATAAATAAATTATTTTCACTATCAAAAATCTATTTAAATGTGTGGGATAAATCGTCTCAAAACTTATGCAATGACCTAATGAGTCGATAATAACTGTCACAGGGTTTCTCTAAGCGTAGAACGCACCTGACATTGATCAAACAATTCATTTAACTTGAATGCTATCGAAAATGAAGGCCAAGGCTGATGTTGAAAGAACTAGCCCTTTTTTCGTTGTCCAATTGAACAAATTCGTATACTCGAATATACAACGAAAGCTATAATAGTCACGAGGGGATTTCATTCGTAATGTCCGCATAAACAATATACAATACAAACATACATCATACATACATGTGACATACAAAAAAAATAAGATACATGAAAATAAAATATTTACTAGAATTTCAACATAACATACAAGCAATATGCTATATGAAATATAAAGTTTTACTGAGAACCTTGGGGTTGGTGAAGTTTGCGAAGTTTAATAGTATTTGGTTCTAATTTCGAAAGATATCTTAATTAACCTTGTTTGTAAATTTCGAGGCGATTTCTTTGCTTAGTCAGTATTTGGAAAGCAGGACTGGAACCCCTTTCAACTAACTATGAAGTTGGATTTGCCCACGTAATGTGACCATCGCTCCCCAAAATTAGATAAGTCACATAATCGCAAACACGGGTGTAATGGCGCCTCAGTTGAGAAACGATGCTCTAGACTCTAGAGTCTAGAGGCTAACGAATTTTGAATTCCTTCGGTAGAGTCTCGACGCGTATATTTCGCAACACCGTGTCCTCGAGAATGATAATTTCAAGCAGAAGCAAGAGTTTTTGTGATTACGAAGTGCCGTCGAACAGACGCTTCATTTAGAATGTCTAGACCTCGTTGAAGCTAACCAGTCGAGGGGTTCTCGTCCACTAATTAAACGGACTTGATGAAAAAATGCATGGAAAAAAGGCACGGAAACGTCTGCGAGGCGTCAGAAGCCTGATAAAATTAATGCGGCCCTTTTTCCTTTCCTGTCGAGGACAATCATCGATGCAATTAACCGTTTTATTTTCTTTCGTTTGCTTTCAGACCGAGTTCGAGCCGCAATGTCACGTGTTCCGAACGAAGCAGTTACGCAAGCCGCGTCCGTGCCATTTGTGCCATCAGGCGGTGATCAAGCAGGCGTCGTGCTGCAGAGGTGAGTCGATAAGGTCATTCCCTGTGGCGTTATAGATCAGGAAGAGTTCCGTCGGTACATGGAACTGTGCGGTAGTTGGTAAAAACGCGCGAGTAAAATTGGCGGTTAAATCTTTTTTTAACGTACTCTATTCAAAATACGAATTTTGTTATCCATTGTATTGCATATCAATGAGAGAGTGGTTATTGTTTTCATTTAAAAATACTGTTTATGTAGGATAACAAACGATTCGAATTTTCTATATAATTGTAGATAAATATTATTAATACATCGTGGCGTTCGGAGTCGCACCTGACGAAAATCCGAGGCATTTCAATTACATTACGTTGGACAAAAATTGCTACAAGTTTTTCACTTTGTAATATTTTTCAATTAAATTTCGAGTAAAGTCAACGTGGAATTATTGGAGGTTCTTCTCTTTTTTATTAAAAAATAATTTTATATTTTTTTCACAGTAACATATCATCAAAGTTAGTATTCTTTCTTTACATAGTATGCTTGAAAACTCAAATGAGAAACTTGATCTTGTATACGATTGTTTTAAAACGTGAAACATCTGTTATGCAATTTATGAAGAGAAATTGAACCAATTATACTGTTGTATACATTTATATTGAGGGAGATATATGAGCATTTCTATAATGCGTATGTCACACGAACCCAATGCGTTAACATAATTTTCAAGAAATATTGAAATATTATGGTCATTAATTAATGTTCTTTTTATTCCAATTAATGTTTCTTTTTCAATTTTGAAATTTTTATCGTTTTCATTTTATACTTTATCAAACTGTAGTAGTTGAGCTCAGAAGTTTTCTTTTTTTCATTTCAGTCTGCAAGTACATCTGTCACAAGTCATGCGAAGATAAGGTGAGCAACAATATTTTTATCTTCTTCGTTTTTTAACGCTTTAGATAGGAACTTATTTAGGTATGAATTCGTCGGTTTATGCAATTCTTTACGAAATTCTGTAACTTTTGAAACGAACTTAGAACAATTAGTATTTACATTCTACGTTGGTATACTAAGCTATATCGGTATCAACTTATGTATAGTGTATGTTTGTCTAAAGCTGTTTAGAAAGAATTTACAACTTAGAAGAGGAAAAGCTTGAAGGATTCTTCAATTCAGGACTTGACGATCTTTATTGTTTTTCCTCGTACCATCTCATAAATTAGTATTCAGAATCGTCAACGTCCTCTGGGAAACTTTGAAGTAGTTACTTTTGCTATACAATTTTACTATTGTACTTGACAACAAGTACTACATTAACTATTGTAACTTGACAATCGAAAACACGTTCTATATACTCTAGTAGGTAGCTATTAAAATTCTGTGAACAGGCACCTAGGAAGTAAAGTTTGAAGGATTCTCCGACTCAAAGAAATAACGTCCTTTTTACGTCAACTTGTCGTAAGTTAATATTCAGAATCGAGCAACATCTTCTCGGAAACCTCGCAACAGTCATTTTTGCCTTATACGTAGTAACTATTGTAGCTTGACGGTAAAAACCAAATCCAATACACTCTGGTTGATATTGGGATTAAATTTGGATGAATAAGCACCCAGAAAGTAAAGTTCGAAGGATTCCTCGCCTCAAAGAAACAACGTTCTCTCCACGCCAACTTGTAAATTAGTATTCAGTAACTATTGTAGCTTGACGGTAAAAAAACAAACTCAATATACTCTGGTAAATGTTGAGATTAAATTTTTATGAACAAGCACTCAGGATGTAAAGCTTGAAGGATTCTCCGGTCCAAAAAACCAACGATCAAATTGTCCTCTTTACGTCAACTTATCGCAAATTAGTATTTGGAATCGAGCAACGTCTTCTCAAAGACCTTGCGATAGTTTCTTTTTCCTCGTATTAACTATTGTAACTTGACAACCAAAATCACGTTTAATGGAGTCTGGCAGGACGCGTTGGAATGAAATCTCTGTGAATAGACGCTCGAGAAGTGGTGCTCGAAGGATTCTTGAACCCAAGAAACGACGATCGGATCGTCCTCTCCACGTCTACTTCCCGCGAATTAGTATTTACAATCGAGCAACGTCTTCTTGGAAACTTTGCAACGGAGTGGCACGTGGAGAGCACTTCCTCGTACACGAAGAGGCTCTCCGGAGCGAGCACGGTGCCGCTGGTACTTCCTGGTACTCAAACAAATCTCCCGTGCCTCGGACACGTGAAACAAAACGCTCTCGAACAAAGCGGCCCTCACCGTCCGAGAGGATCGTCGGTGTTTGCTAATTTTTCCGACCAGTCGACGAGGTACACCGTTGATACGCGTCTGGATTCAGGGAACGGTACCGGAAGTCGTCGAGAATCACGTCGTCAGATCCCAGTTAACAGATGCATCTTAATTCGAGCACGCCACCAATGGCGTGGCCGATGAGATTCTCGGTTCCTCGAAGTCCTCGCAGATACGAGCCCGTCGTTCGCCACGAGCATGTGTTCGTGAGCGGGAATAGATCTCGGTTCGGTCCCCTGTGTGAAATGCGGTGTGGGTTCAGTCACCGGGCAAGGCACGAGCCTCACTTACCTTACCTTCTTCGTATCTTCAAGTACTCCTGTGTCACACTGGCTGCACACAGCTAGCCGCGCTGATTCGCACACTCGCGACTCAGTCGCTGACAACCCACACGTACGGACGCGAACACACGTCCGCGTACACACGAGCGTACAGCTGTGCCGGGAGTAGCGGAAGGATGAACGCTGGACGTCGAGGAGAACGTGCCTCAGACAGTAGGAGAGCGGCAGAGAGCACGACTTCCTTCTGTAAGTGCCGGGACGTCGTTTGTTACGAAGGTTTTGTGGCACTGCGAACAAAACGGTCGGCTCGATTCCTTTGATACGTCTATTTCGACCGTGGAAGAGCTTCCATTACCGTTGGAAGACCGAGAAATCTACGGCGCGGATCTTCCCCTAGACCCGACACGTTGAAACCAACGAAAGAATCTCGCCAGAGCCGTGTGTGTCTCGGCTTGGATTGACATTTAAGAACTTGGAACACGCTGATAGTCTTGTCCTCTCCTGGTGACTTTCGTTGAACTTGTCATCGCCGCTTGGGCAATTAGCGGCGAATCGGAATGACATTTCGTTTCGTTCGGTAGGACAAAAAATAGCGGAAGGCATAAACTTTAATTAGCAAGATTAACTAGATAGATTGTGCCCTCGATCGGCGGATGGCTGCTTTCCTGCACTCGAGTATCCAGTTCTGTGCGTAATTATTGAGCCCCGTTTGGTCCGTCACGATTATCGGCTCATAAAAAGGGTAACAATTCTAGTCTAATTGGTGATTCGAGAAACGGTTTCCTGATATTAACGAGAGGAAACACCGAGCCAAATTGGAGATTCGCTCCACGAGATACCGCCCCCTCTGGTCTATCGAATCGTCCGTCTCTGTTTTGCTTGAGCTAACCGCGTGGTTTGTCGGTGGATTCGGGTTTGTTAAGTTTACAGGCATGGCCACGAACGTTGTTGCCCTTTCGAGGAGACGCAAAGGCGACCGACGTTTGTTCCGCGCAAGAATTCCGCGTAGGTCACGTTTCTTCTGGACGTTTTGAAATTCGAGGCAGGTCTCGGCTCCTTCCAGGAGTTGTCACAGGGCTGCGTCATCTCCAACCTCTCTTCGCGATATCGTAGAACGTCAGCCTTCGCGTATGATGTAATTCGTTACACGCACGGTAGCTGGAGAACGAAGGAGGTTTCGTACCTCTTCACCTTGAGCTCGTCGCAACTCTGGCGCTGGACCACGTGTGTGGCACTTCGTGTATTATTAGCGGTCGAACCCGATACACGTGCCCATTATGAATTACATGTATGCATAGGGTGTCAACGCTTTGCTGAGCGGTCACGAGAATACTCGTGTTGTCATTCTCAAACGTTCCTGACCAATTACGAGTATATTCGATGTTTCATGACCTAACATTACTCATTGGTCACGTTCCCATGTGGGTCTTACCCATAATAATATACATATATGAAAAAATGAGAAGCTGTTTCTAGTCACTCAGAAAAGTGGAGTGGATAGAGAAACTATGTTGGATGATCAATGAAGCTTTGGTGGAAAACTAAGCACATTTTATTAGTACAAAAATATTAGTAAATTTTCATCAGAAGGTATATGAAAGACAAAAAAGGAACTACAGATAACGTTACAACTACAAATTATACAAAATAATCACTTAAATTCAAAATCGCCCCACTGTTTCGATTCACCCCATTTTACGGTTTTCATTTTCCATTGGCCCCTCGGTCTCTCGCTTCCAAGTTTCTGAAAACTTTTCTGCGACACCCAGTATGGTTCGAGAGGCCACCGTCGTATCCTATTCATTAATCTCGGTTACGTTTGTTCGTATGCGCTCGTGTAACGCTAGAAATTGGCTAGAAAGTACTGTTATCTGGCGTCCCCTGTAACATTATAACGCTACTGTATACGCGAAGGAACTATGCATCATGTCGCGTATCTCGCGAGATACGCTGTGGTATGTGTGAGAAGGTATTGATATCATCGCCGAGCCATAACGTCTTTTCTCCTGGAATTCGAGTCGGAACCGGCTGAGAACCGCTGGCAGCTGGAACGAGCTAACGAACGACATCGTTCGACGAATATGGAGAACCAGATGTTTCCTTGAGATCGAAGGTCGTCTCAGGCTACGCAACCCGTTTCTTTTCCGTCACCCCTAGGCACGTCAAACTCACGGAACTATTCTCTTCCGCGCGCGAAGTCGAACGCCCTCTCGTCAAACAGCCACTCCCGGCCGTACCGAAATTCTCAAACACCATTAACTCCCCAAACATCAAAGCTTCACGGCTAACAAACCAGCCACGACGTCGCCAAAGTTTGCCACTTCCTGATCAGCGTTGGTTCCCTCCGCCCTCCCGATCCCACCCGTTCGCCTGCTAGGATCGTTTTCAAAGTACAGGGATTCGTGTCAGGTCGTGTTCCTGATACGCAAACTCCTGAAAGCTCCTTGTTCCCTGCCGCACGGGTCATCGTTGCGGTTAACTGCTAGTCTGTGATCGCGGAAGAGGGAGGAGCCACGTGGATGTCGACGCGGAGACACGATCAAGTGCGACGCTCACCTTACGATGGGATCTCTGTACAGCGATGGTGTTTATAATACTGGAGCCATGTAAAATACTGATAAAATCAGTGTAAGATACATAATTGTTCGATAGTATCTTATACATGCAGAATGCGTTTAATATATATTTGAAGGCAGAAATTAATAAGTAGCTCGTTTGAGTTCGGTCGATTCCTAGAAAGCTTCACCTTAGCACTTCGATTCAGACACACCTGGTGATCGAAGCGTTCTCGTTATATGAAAATAAGTAACAAAGGATTAGATGAATCAAAAGAACGAGAGAGTCATCGAGGCGAGGATCTCGTAAACAAGATAGCAGAGATAGAGAACCCGTCTTTGTTGCATATTCAGACGCTCTCGAATACTGTTGAATATATACACCTCGAATTCCTTTCGTCCTATTCTTTATCTAACCGTAATCCGCTTAGAGTTTAGACGCAGCCTTATACAGCAGCCTTATATCGTCGTCCAGTACGAAAGAGGAGTTGGAAGCTGATAGTCGCGTGCGGAAATTTGAAATTTCTTTCGTTCCCGCTCGTTTCGTATTCTACTTAATCAAGCACAGACCGCTCGCCTCCTACTTTTCTTCGTTCCATCTATTCATCTCCGTTTCTTAAATCAACACCAGCAACAATCCCGCATTCATCGCGAACAAGGGTATCAAGGTGGATCGTATCCGACTTGCTGATGGTGCATCAGCTAACAGCGCTGCGTCGCGAACGAGCACAGGGAGGAGAAGGTAGATAAAGATGATGTATCAGAAGCAACGTTCCAGCTCTCGC